CTGTAGAGAAGATAGTTTTGTAGTGAAGATATTTTTGTAGAGATGCAAATTGTCTAAACCGCGGGCAACGGGCGTCCGCGGGCGCCCAGCCGGCGGGCATGCCCCCACTCCAATCATCGCTCCACCACGTTTTAAACTATTTAGTTTAGTTGGCGCCATTTGATGATATCATTACTTTTGTAGAGAAGATAGTTTTGTAGTGAAAATATTTTTGTAAGAGTAACAAAATATATTTGGTCGTTGGAGCTTATTACTTTTGTAGAGAAGATACTTTTGTAGTGAAGATATTTTTGTAGAGATGCAAAAAAGATAGAGTAACAAAATATTTAGTTACTGCCAGTGAAAACAGTATAGTTGGTAGCAATGAAAATTACTGGTGCTGCGTTTTTCTTCCGCCAGTAAAGTCAGTAAAGAACCGAAGCACGGTCTTACCGAAGTGATCCAAAATAATACCAAAGAAAATTTTTAGGTTAAAAATTGAACGGGTAATTGGTTTTTGGTCTTACAAAAGTATAAAGAAATGGAGACATCTGTTATACAATCTAAAAATATCTCTCTACGTGATTTAAAATTGCTCGACGAAGAAACAAATGCCGAATATATTATACTATAAAAGTACAAAAGGTAGACTATAATCGTGCTCATAATGGTATAACTTTATAATAATAATCTATAATAGTTTAATAATAGTAATCATGTAACATTTGTTACAAGTTATTAGTTAGGTTAGAATAATTATCTTCTTATGTATATTAATATTGTCGTACATCACCATCAATAATATTATCAAATGAAATATATTCTTCCATCTTTGGGTGCTTTTCAGCAAGAGACAAAAAGGCACGGTATAAAATTGGCGTCTTTACTGGCGGAAGAAAAACGCCGCACCAGTAATTTTCATTGTTACCAACTATACTGTTTTTACTGGCAGTAACTAAATCCATTTTCGAACACATCCCATCTGGGAGGTCTGCTTACAACTGGCTCTCGACGAATATAAGTAACAACGCGGAAAGCGAAGAGATACAAGCCCAATTCGCGTTGTTAAAGGACAAAGCCAGTGAGATCGAAGAACTCAACGACAAATTGCAACAGTTGCAGCTCAGCAGAGAGGGAACGACGGAACAAGAACTCGACGAGGAAATTTCGGCATGCGATGAATATCGTCTCAAATATCATCGCATTAAACCACGAGTCTTGAGTCTTACGCAACCGGTTCCAATCATTGTAGATGGCGGCGCGACGACTCAACAAAGGAACAGACGCGAGTAAGCCGGAAAAGACAAACGATTCAAGCTACCGAAAATCGAGTTACAGAAATTCAGCGGAGAACTACGCGAGTGGCTACAATTCTGGAGCCTCTTCAAGAACATCCACGAGGATCGACAGATTACTAAGGAGGATAAATTCCAATATTTATTCCAGGCCATGGTGAAAGACTCAAGGGCTGGTGATCTCGTGAATAGTTATCCACCGATCGCTGAAAACTACGAAAAAGTGATCAAGAGTTTAAAATCAAGATTTGGTAAAAATGAACTGTTGATTGAGTTATACGTGCACGAGCTGCTTAAGTTGGTATTGAACAACAGTGCAAAATCGGGAAAGCAGCAATCCGTCGGTAACCTCTATGATAAACTCGAAACGCAATTGAGGGCGCTCGAGTCGCTTGGTGTTACAACAGAGATGTGCGCTGCGATGTTATACCCACTGGTGGAATCTTCTTTACCAGAAGAAACGTTGAGAGTTTGACAGCGCTCACCGACGTCATCAGGAGCTACCGTCGCGAAAGACAGACTCACCAATCTCATGTCGTTCCTAGCAGGGGAAGTGCAAGCCGAGCAAAGGATAGAGATGGCGGTCAATGGTTTCGGAATTGCCTCGAAAACTAAAGTGAAGGACAAGAATAAGAGGACCAAACAGGTAAACTCGGACGTGCCGACGGCAGCCGGACTATTAACAGTAAATAATGCGATCGCATCTAAGTGCATTTTCTGTGGCGAACTGCATAACTGCGCGAATTGTGAAAAGGCTAAAAACTGTCTCTCGGGGAAAGACAGGAGATCGTGAACGAGAAGAAAGCCTGTTTTTGTTGTGCTAAGGTTGGCCATAACCTAAGATCATGTCAGTATAAGGGGAGATGTGCGTGGTGTGGACATAAACATATTCTTTTGCTGTGCCGCAGTGTGACTCCTAACGCGTCGAGTTCCGGGAATAAAGCGAGCACAGACACTCAAGAAAAAGACGTCACGGAGCACAGCCTGGCTAACCTATCATCGGGCCCGGAAGTTTTTATGCAGACACTGATGGTAAAGGTGTTCAACGACGAATCTAACCTGCCCATTCGAGCGGTCATCGACTCCGGGTCGCATCACTCGTATATCTCGACAGAAATCACTGCAAAGATGGGATTCAAGAAAACAGGTAATCGCACATTGATTCATTCGTTGTTTGGAGGTGCTACTACTCAGCCACAAGATCACGAACGCTATCTCATACGTCTACGCAGCCTTGACGGAAAATTCGCATGTAACTTCGACGCATTTGAGCAGGATAAGATATGCGTCAACATTCCCAAGATGACTGGTGGTCCATGGATTAAGGAGCTGAGTAGAAGATCCGTCAGACTTACAGATGTGGACTGTGAAAGGGAACCGGTATCTCTTTTGATAGGTGCTGATGTTTCGGGCAGAATTCTCACCGGTCGAATTATTCAGCTGAATAGTGGTATAACAGCTGTCGAAACTAAGCTTGGGTGGACAATAATGGGAAAAAACCCGTCTCGCGTTTGTCAACGCGGCGACAGCGTGACGATGGCTTTATCTTTGTTTGTTGACGAGGCAAGGGTCGAGGATCTCTATGGAGTTTGGACGTTTTGGGGATACAAGATCCCATTCTAAAGTCCACGAAAGAGCAACATCTGGACGTTCTCAAGAGTTTTTGGCACTCTGCAACTGTAAATGAGCAAGGTCGTTATGAAGTTTTTTTGCCACGGAAGGACAATCATCCTACTCTTCCTGTGAATCGAGCGACGCCTGAACGAAGACTGGACAATACGATTAAAAGGCTGCAACAAGATGGTTTATATCGGGCTTACGACGATGTCTTTCAAGACTGGTTGAACGAAGGAATAATAGAGGAAGTTCCTATCGATTGAGGATTATGGACATTATCTGCCTCACAGACACGTCATCAAGGAGAATAGCACGACTCAAATTCGCCCCGTTTTCTATGCATCGTCAAGAGAGAGAAGTGGCCCCTCCTTGAATCAATGTCTGGAGACAGGTCCTAATTTCATCGAGTTGATACCCGAGTTACTACTACGATTCAGGCAACGGAAATTTGGAATGATAGCAGACATCCGAAAGGCGTTCCTCCAGATCAGTGTCTCGAAGCAGGATCGAAATGTCATGAGATTTTTATGGAAAAGACAGCCTGGAGACAAGGATTACGTAGTCTATCAACATTGCCGGGTCTTATTTGGTGTTTCAAGCAGTCCTTTTTTGCTGGGAGCTACTATCGATCTTCACCTGGAGAACATTGCTCGGGACTTACCACAAGAAGAGGTTGGCCTAGTGCGGGATCTTGCAAAATCCTTTTACGTCGACAATTGCATAACTAGTCTCTCAACGATCGAAGAAGTGAAGAATTTCAAGGACAAAGCAACTTTCTACATGAGCAAAGGAGGTTTCGACCTTCGAGGTTGGGAGTATACTGGTGAAATAAACCCCGCGAGAGAAGCTCTAGTTTTGGGCCTTGTCTGGGACAAGGATGAAGACGTGATGAAGATTTCCAGTCATAGTTTGCAGCCGAAGATTCCGAGTGAAACTACCAAAAGGAAAATTTTAGCAGCCTCGCAAAAGGTATTCGACCCCATTGGTATAGTCTGTCCAGTGTTACTTTGTCCGAAGTTAATTTTGCAGGCACTATGGACATCGAATAAAGGCTGGGACGAGCTGGTCGACGAAACGATAAGCGTAGCGTTTCTGAAGTGGCTACGAGACTTGGAGAATCTTCGCGAAGTCAAAATTCCACGATGAGCCTTTGGAGAGAGTGGCGATTCCCTATCGCTTCATTTATTTGTCGACGCTAGCCAAGTCGCCTACGCCGCTGTTATTTTCGCAAGAGTGGTCCGTTACCAGGGAGTTGAGGTTCGTTTCGTTCAGGCCAAATCCAGACTCGCCCCTCTAGGAAAACCGACCACTCCACGGCTGGAATTGATGGTTGCTGCTATAGGAGCCCGCCTGTTGCATACCACCATCAAGACCTTGGATCGCCCCGAGCTTAAAGTTTATTGTTGGACGGATTCATCTACGGTGCTTGCATGGGTCAAAAAAGAGAATCAATGGGCATCCTTTGTCTGGAGACGAGTACAAGAAATTAGGCAATTGACTGATCCCGATACTTGGCGCCATGTTCCAGGGGAATTGAATCCTGCAGATCTTCCGTCTAGAGGATGTTCCGCGAAAGAAATAGTTGAGTCTCAGTGGTGGCTGGGTCCACAATGGCTCTCACGCCCCGAAGAAGAATGGCCTTCATCCGACGCTGAAGTGGACGAAAAGACTGTGGCAAGCGAGATAAAGAAAGAAGCGTTGAAATCTAAGGCTACACAAATCTCAACGATACTCATCGTCAATACGTCAAGACATGAGTCGAAGGCAACCGCAGAAGTGATGATTCCTGAAACGTCATACGAGGGACTTCTTCGTCGACTCGCCTTGATAATGAGATTTATTGCAAATTGTCTACGACAGCCTTCAATTCGTGTAAAGTCCTATTTGAAGGTGGAAGAAGTAGTCGTTGCAGAACTCAAACTGATACGCATGATTCAGCACGAAAGCTTCCCTGATCTCAAGGATTCCAGATTGAGCTCGATGAATATCTACCTGGACGAGAATGGAATACTCC